CGAAATACGAAATGTTTGGTCGTGACAAATGGTTTATATTTTTTCTATATAATTTTACTTTATATATTATTATCATATATTATTTTTATTAATATTTTTGCTAAGTAATTTTATAATAATTTTGAGATCTATTCTGTAATTCTCAACGACTATAATTATAATGATTGTAACTATAACTGTTACAATCATGAGTTACAGAATAGGTCCTTTTATCTTATATTTTAACTACATTTCTTTTACTTTTCCGTTATCACAAATCAGTAGTAAAAAAAAACTAGTGTGATCGTTAAATAAATTTTACGATATTTTACAATTGATTCGAATCATTATGCATAACGTTGTTATTCTTTTTATTGATTTAGTGATTGTATAAAGTTTTGTTCGCGGAATGGTTCTTCTCTCTATGCAAAACGGAAAAGCGGTACCGAAAACGAAACAGGTGACATCGCATGCGGGATGTGAAACGAACTGCCGCATAATAGCCGACGAACAGTTTCATTTATCTATTTGTCGTCCTTGCAATCCCACCGATTCTCGTCGTTTCTATCTCTCTCGCCTGAGAGCTCTGATTTTTCTACATCGTACTTGGTCATCGCGTTTTACGATCTAATGCTCTCTTTCTGCCATTATCGACATCACCATCCAACTGCATATTATCTATTATTCGCTATATTTACTGCTGGTACTTGGAGCTAGTTTACGAAACGATATTGACTGCAGCACAATGGAGCGTTATTACTGTAATAACGTTACTGTTGGTCAATTGATGCGACAATAGTGATGTTACTATTTCGCGTACACATTCTTGCAGTGAAAACTGCATCTATATAGCCATAAATCTATTTCATGAATATAAATTACGTTCATTTAATGAATATTATTGCATATTATGTGTGTGTGTGTGTGCTTTACATGGGATTATACAAGTATGAAAAATGTAGTGATTTTTAATTGTCAACATTTAATTTCTTTCTATACATATAAGTTAATTCTTTGTAGTTTTATGCTGAGGTAGATATAAGGCTTTGTATCAAGTTTTCCAAATACATATTCGAAGTAGAATTATAATTAACAAGATATATTTTTGGAATTTTTGTTTGGAAAATTACTGGAATAATAAATACATTAATTTATTATTTTGTATAATACTATACTGAGAACTACAGTTTGAAACGAAAATAAAATATTTAATATTGATTCATTTATTGAAATTAATTCGAAAAGGTCATTGGCTGTTAACGAGTGTTAATTTAATGACGAAATTATAATATTGTAGTAAATATATTTGTGTATAGGAATGATTAATTAAATAAACGGTCGGATATAATTTGAGATGAGCACAGGAAAGGGGATTCCGTTTCATTGTTGGACAAACCACTACGAATCTTAATATAAATCGAGATAAAGCAATGCGACCACCGGAGGAAATAGCGTGTCTAGAAAGCGTACTTCAGAGACAAAGAGCTTTTCTTTCCATGATTTCGATTGACCTTTCGGTACTATAGTGTACTCTTGTTTGACGGAGCGTATACTCTGGGTCTCCAAATAAAATGGGCAACTTTCGCTTTTGGCACTATAACCCATAATAAATCAATAAAACAATGAAGTTTTTATATTAAACATAGATCAAAGAAAGTGTTCTAATAAGACTAAAATACATTTGTGCAGGAAGATATATGCATTGATATAAAATTGTTTTTACAAAAGCATTTTTATGACGATTAATATAGGAATTTATTCAAACGCTATTATAAATGTAGGATTTTGATTAATTGCAATAAAATGTCAAAAATCGTAAAATGAATTCTTTAATTAATTTGAATACCTGAAATTATTTTAAATTTACATGAGATTAAGAGGAATTTCTAAGTAATTTTATACAGTCATTATTTTTAAAGTGATAAAATATTTTAAATATTATTTCGAGAGGTACGAATTAATTCCAATGTTTGTTCTTATAAAGAGTCACATTCGCTATTAGCGCGTTTATGGTGGAGAATCCTCGTTCCATTTCCCTACTTTAAATAATTGTAATACCTTTGATATTGCTCTGTAAGCTGATATCACCTTCCTTTCTGCTTGGTAAATTTCATGTCGTTACTGGAAACTAGGAAGCGGAACAAGACTCTTCGGTGATCTATTTTTCGGACATTTCAGAGGATAAAAGTACATCGGAACGAGGAGAGAGAGAGAGAGAGAGAGAGAGAAAGAGAGAAGCTAAGGAACACGACAAAAAGGAATAAAGAGATCAGTATTGGCTTTGAAAAGTGGACCTTGTAGAACATTACGACAAAAAACCTATATTACCGTATTATTATGACAACTTTATATCCATGTTGTTCGATTTCTTTTTCGCATAAATTTGTCGCGCATTTAGTTTGACACATTTCACAGCGTGTTCCTCTGTATTTGATGTTTTTATTTGATATACGGGAAATATATAAATCTGATTTTTCCGCTAACACACAATTTCATAAAACACACAAATACTTACATATCAAAGTTACTTCTTCATATATGGTACATTTTATCTGTTTTAAATTAAAACATATTTCTGACAAATTATCTGTATGATTCTGTAAAAGTTTCGAAGTTTATAACGCTGATAATATCAATTTATTTCCAATGTTCGCGAGATGCGTGTCGTAGAAAGATTTTAGGATGCATTAAACATTTCCATTCGTGCTAACTGTAGTTTTAAAGATTGGATCAGAGATACGTTTCAACTTTCCCGGAGTACGGAATATTGCTGGAGGAGTATAATTGCGCAAGTTAGATAATTGCATATAATAGTATCTTCCGTGGCCCCTGCAGTTACTGGCTAGCTCGTATCAATTCCGTTAGAAATCAGCGTAAGATAATATTTATTTTTTCCGTAATAAAAAGAGTGTTATAGAAATAGAAATTATACACATCGGTTGTGAATGAAATTAAAACCTTGCGTATAATAAAAATCTTATATAGTTATTTATAAAAATATCAAAGATTAAAATTATAGAGAATAATGTTTTAACAGAGCACAGTGTTCATAGTGCGACTATCTAACAGTTCAGAACTAAGTTGCAAAAGATTTTTCAGACGTGTTTTGATGCTTACAAACCTATGCAAGAATTCTGCGAGTATCTTAGTGATAGTAAAAGTAACATTGTTAAACTTTTTATTTCTATCGCGGTATAAATATTTCTATAAGATGTTCAAATTTGAGGGCTGTTCCTCGAACTGTTCAGCTGACACGTTAAAGGAATTCTTGATATCTTTTGATTGTGTTCGCACTTTAAATGCCTCGGTATAATCGCCGACCGTGGAAAGTGCGTGGTAATTTTACACCTGCTTCGCGCATATAAGTCTCGCGAAAGGGTTACATGGCAATTCATACAAAACAATCTACTGCCTTATCTATTCTGAGAGAATTCCGTTTAAATTTGATCTGCGACATAAAACAGGCCGAGAGATTTACCTAAGAGATGGTCCCGTAAAACGCACCATAAAAGGAAGCGCTCTTCAGTGAAAAAACTGTTCAGCGCCAGTAGAATGAGCAATTGCGAATACGTATTTTCAAGCAATATTGCGAACGGAAGTAAAATTAAATTCAAAGGATTCTGCTTTGAACGAATGATGTAATTAAATATTTATGAGCTATTTTGAAATAACTAAATTTGTTATTTAAAACTGATTTTTTTTAAATCAAATGTTGCGATAAAACATGTAAATATATAGTAATAAATATTAAACATGTTTTATTTTGGATATTTTTTTTGTTATATTTTCTAGTTAGTATATACATGAAATATATACAGTGAGCTTATGGTATATACTTGCATATCAAGCAGTTCTCGTAGATTATTTTGCCTGAAATTATGCGGCTTCATTATATACAAGAACCTTAATGAACTATTTCACAGATGAGAGCTCGTTTTGCTAATGAACAAAAATACGTTTCCTTAAGACGATCACGAAGAGAATAAATCAAGTCTACATGTAAACAAAATTATTTCAAAGAATTCAAAACAGTATACTCATGAATATCTAATTTATGTGAGGGGTTATAACGGCAATTTCTGTTAGCGTATCATTTTTTTCCTGTAATAAACTAGATATTTATTAAGTTATAACTGATTCTGGATATTCATTCAGATTTTTCCTTGCAATTTACAGAATTCTGTGAATTGCAAGAAAAAATCTGGGGTAAATAAAATTAGTACACGTATATGCATCCACACGTGTGGATATGGATTCAATTATTATAACATCTACTTTTTCATACGGAATTTTTAAATAGCTTTTTCATTGTGCATTTGGAAAAGCAAGAATAAAAGGGAATAAAGACAAGGTGATATGTAGAACTAGAGTGCAGGGACGTAATAAAGGTTTTACTACTCGCGCAGTAAGCAACGTGTTAGAATAAAAAGTAACGTGTAGTAAGGTAACGACACTATAAAAGCTCAACGGAAAAAGGACTACTATATACATATGTACGTATGTTACATTTTTATCATTACATATGTCAAGAGATTGATGTGAAGAATAATTTTATAATAAATATATATAAAATGTTACGCTCTTTCATAAGTTTCGTCATGAATATTATGTTTTGTCAAGAATATAGGTTTCTACGTTACTAACTTTCTTGCCAAGTATGAAGTTTCCTACTTATTGCACATCGTGCACAAAGTTTACTTGTTAATAGATTCTATTTATAAAATATTTTGAAATGTTTCTTAAGCGTCAACAAAAGTTTGACAAAGATCGAAATATATGAATTTATCATTTTGTAATTCCGATCAACCGCAAGGATGACGTTAATACAAGAATTTCATAAAAAAGAATATTTTTGTTTTTTTACGTCAATCATAATAAAATCGTGGTATCTTATATGCGTTTTTTGGGGTTTCTGCTATTTTGATTTTCATATGAATGAAATTTTATCTGAAATTGATCGCAAAGGAGTCACGGGGTTAACGAGACACGAAACTTGAATCTTGAACCTTAGAGTATCGTACCTGGCATCGTTCCTCTTCGACAAATATGGGCAATTCTACCCTTGGTCCTAGTTGATTGGATGTTTTTTGGAATCCAGAAAACATGTTTTGCTTTTCTATGAAAGTTTCAGCAGTGCGGCTTGAAAACAAAAAATTGCCTTGCAATCATGCCATTGGTGCTCTGTGTATTACGAGATTTGTGTTACAGTTAAAATTCAATTAATCTTTTTTATCTATTTATTTTTTTTTAAACTATTTTTACGTTTCTTTATATTTGTCATTGTATAATAAAAAGTGATATCTTTACTATATGATTATATATAAATATATATCTACAGGGTATCCCATAACTCACCTGACAACGTTCGTGGGCAGGTAGAGCGGACTAAACTGAGTCAAAAAGTTCTCTACTATTTTGTAATTTTCGCAATAGTTAACAAGATATTAATTACTAAAAATTGCCGAATATTGGTTTTCAATCATTTTTTTCTCAAATACTATCAATTTTACAAAAAAACTGTAAGAGACAAAAATTGTTTATTTTCTTCTCATAAAACTCTAAGAATTTTTTCAGAATTTTTTATCAATTTTTTAGTACTGCATTTAAAAAAAAATTTAGTAATTAATATCTTGTTAACTATTGCGAAAATTACAAAATAGTAGAGGACTTTTTGACTCAGTTTAGTCTGCTCTACCTGCCCACGAGCGTTGTCAGATGAGTTATGGGTCACCCTTGTATATATATATAAATTACATTAATTATACATATATAAATTTTAAATATGATTATACATATATAAAATAATTAAATGTAAACTGCAAGATAATTTGTGCATAAAATATGATTCCAGGCCCTTGCACGTCATTTCTAACAAATAGGTATAAATTATACTCGCGTTATCGCGTAATTCGTACACATGTACTATTTATCAGGATAAGTGATGTTTAGACAAAATTAGATATGTCCGGTTACATCTAAATTAAGCCATTGAGCTAATTTCCATGCTCGAATATATTCGTATGCTCTATTTGAATTACGAACTTAATTAAAAATACATCATTAATCATTGTTTACTTACATTATTAAATGCATAAGAGAATCAAAACTGAATTAATTCCAATAGCATTAGCGCGGAGTTTTCGCGCTATTAAATTTTCTTCCTATTCCTTTTTGTCGTGACCAATTATTTACGTACGTTAAAAATTTATTTTTTTATTATCACACGTAAAGCATTGTGTCTTTGACATCCCGAGCTTGATCAAAAGAAACATCATTAAAATATATCGCTTACATTGCAACAACACATCAAAGGATTAAAACAAGAAAAAAGAAGCCTGTTATTTTTTCACGTTTTCCAACTTTTTATCTTTTATTTCTTGAAATCTATTTTGTTTTCATTTAGCCGGAACCCTCCTGCCTTTTTTGTTGGTAGGAATCGTTCCTGCGACAAGTTACCGTGCGTTGCACGGTACCTTGTATAAAATAAATTGAATATCATCCAATGATACGCCACTTTGTTTCGGGCCACTAATTTCCGTCACGAGGGTGACCCTCGTGATTAGACTCCATTTTTTTTAAAGGAATTCAGCTCTTATCTAGATAGGAATTCAGCTCCTATCTAGACAGGATTTCTGCCACCTACCAGTCTTTTATAAACGCTCGCCATTAAACGGCTCCAATATCGTGTAACGGATCATAAAAAATGTAAGAAATGACGCACTGAATATTATTTTGCTGGAATTATCTGCTTTAATTAAACGTAATGGTGTCATTATAATGACACCAGGTAATAGGCAATTCCCTCTTGCAAAGAACAGGCTATCTAACAAAAAAAAAAGAAAACGATTTATATGAAAAATCTCTGTCTGTGATACATTTAATATATTACTCGCACGTGTTATAATGTGCGATATCTACGTTGCGTGACTCGACATTCTCGTATACATTCTTAGAAAAATATTAGTGAAATAAAATTGACGGATGCATTGCTATATAACGAGGAAACATTACGATCTTTACAAGATAGAAGCAATATTTTATAATAAAAAGGCAATTTTTCAATCTGAAAACGATCCACCATTTATATATCTCGCTTATTAAGCGTCATAGCATGTGACGTAGGATAATACTGCAAGGAGTGTGTCTACGTTGGACCTATTCGCAATCATGAATCAGCAATGGGTGCGGGTATCGAAAGTCGATACGTCATACTGTGAAGTGTGAACAGAAACTCGCACAATTGGCAGAGTTTTTGGATAACAAGTCAAACACGAAGTCATGTGAAAACGTAGCAGTGTATACAAACGCGAATAATTCAATGTAAACTTTAAAGATGTATTTTTGAAAAAGGATTAATTAAATTCTATCGATTTACTTTGATATTCACAACTACCCGGGAAAAAATGTTATATACATATTTAAACATACTTTATATATAATTATATATAATTGTATGATTTTTTATATAATTATATATGATTTTTTATATAATTATATATAATTATATATGACACATTTTTTCCAAGCAATGAAATATTAAAGATATAAATTTAATAAATTAGTATTTTTGAAGAAAACCTTGATGTTCTAAAAATATAATTTTTTTCTTTTCTATTTTGTAAAATTATAAAATTATATTTTTTATAAATTTTACATTAATTTAATTTTTAAATATTAATATTATTTCATACAAATTTTAATAATGTATAACTCGAAATCAAATGAGTATCTCTTATGATGAATAATATGCTATTGATATTAATGATGGTATTTATAATAGTAAACTGTTTTTTAAATTGTAATTTACAATTGTAAACACATAATAATATTAATTTCTATAATTATTGTTATTATATTGACATAGCCGCAATAATGGTCAGTTATTTCACATCCTGACATATTCATATGTAATATGTATACAATGCATGACTCGCGTAAATAAAATATGTTCGAGGTAGATATACCGGAGATACCACAATTCTAGCTGATATTAATTAGCGGACCACATTTAACATACCTGGAAGCTTATTGAACGCGAAATCCTTGTGACGTGAACTCTATGAAAATTTTCCGGGTGGCCGTCGCACCGGATCTTCCCTTGTTCATACTTGGATAACTTCGTGTATTCTCCTCGTCGTTCTAGTTGGAGAGACAGGAACATTAACCCGTGTGCACACTAACTTCCGCGAAATTAATAATGAGTCCTTTCTGAGTCCTTCTTCGAACACGTTCGGCAATTTGACGTGTCATGCTTCGTGTGTTAGCATCTTTGTAAATAAATATGTTACTCTACTTTGGTATAAAAGTTAGAGACATTCTCCATGGAATTTCTGATAGTTTAACATCTGCGATTTTCTTAAATATAATCGACAAAGTTTCGATTTCGAGTTAAAAAAAATTGATTCACATTCGAAAATTATTCCTTATTGAATACTTTTTGCAAATTACGTAAACGGTAAATCGGAGTCACTGATTTTTTTGAACAGTACACATAATATTTAAAATATCTCTGTTAATTACACTTTCGTTAAATATATCGTTGATTGATTTAAAGATGTACATTTTCCATCTAGTGCAAGTCAGAGTTGGAGATGCTTAAAGATCGATTTCTCTCTGTCATCAGCACACCGCGTATATCCCCGGAAATTCACTAGTAAGCTCAAGTTCGTCGGTCTCGCGCCTTTCAGTCGTGTCACGTTCGCGTTTTCTTTGAATTTCTTTGCACGATCAAACTTTCAGAATCGAAACTTTCCTCGGTTTAGACTGCAATTAATTATGGCTGTCTCATTTTCACATGTAAATTTTTCACGTATAAAATTCGAAATATTATTCTGCTGGTTTATCCGACCAGAGTTTCCATTTTAACCAGTTTGGCAGAAAAGATTTGCCAGTTTTATGTTCTGTCATCAATTTTAATGATCGATGCATTTTGTAGCACGGAAATATTATGATTCTTTTTTTTCGTAAATCGAACGCGATTTCTGTCAGCCTTTGATAGTTTCCGAAACCTCGTGTGTGTGTCGTGAGCACCAAAATTTGTATACAACTCGAGCTCCTCGACGGCTCTCGGCCGACTGACTGAAAACTAGGCTTTACCTTCTGCGTCTCGTTGTCCGCGCATGTGCCACCGTAGGATATATAAGACAAGATTTTGGTGGAAAGTGTAGAAAAATTACAAGACTGCAGTTTGAATACACGGTAGTTCATTCATAAAAAATATGCTTACGCGGAACTTGGTTCTATGAATGACTTATATGATAATCACAAATGCTTTTCAACTTCTTTGATATGTTGTTATTTTTTCATATATATTTACAACACACATGTAGGTACATATTTTGGTTTTAAAATAATATCAAATTAGACTTTGAAATTTACATAAAAGGAATATATTTTTTAGGAATAACTATTAAATTAAAGTTTAAATAAAAGAATAAATAGATTTTTTTAGGAATAACCATTAAATTAATTATAATAATTACATTTATAAGGCTAAATTAAGTTTAATTAAAAATATTACTCGGATTTACGCTTTTTCTTCTGTTCATTTTGCTAAAAATAGATAATTTTTTCTGATCAATAATATTTCTGTGGAAATAATCCCCTCCTAAGGGGATATTTTGTAATATACTCAAAATTACTCTACGTTAATAAAAATTTTAATCCTGCGGCACACACAGCGCAACAAATATATATAAAAATGAACACGATATAGAGAGTTGACTCTATCAGTTATATAAATTCATGAAAAACCTTGCTTTCAAATTTCGTAGAATTCGACATACCCTTTGGGGACGATAATTAATCAAGTCGCGTTTCATGAATCTCCCCGAGGATTCCTCAGATATTCTCCATTTTTATTGGAAAAACAATCTCTGTAACCTCCGGGAGAAGAGATTCGATTGGTTGATTTTATGGTAAATTTAGATACCGTACGCAAATATTCTCATTCTTCATAATCAATGAGAAATAGAGAGATGCTCGAAATTTAGAATTTTATATTACATTTTAATAGAATTTTGTAACAGATTATGCAGCAAATAAAAAGTTATACTAGAGAAAGAAAAAAGAGAGAGATTCGAATACATCAGTATTAGTAAAAAAATTTGCTTACGCGGAAATTCCTTCTTAAAGAGGTGTAACGTCGTCGGAACGCATGGGATGCTGCTCAGCCTGCTAATTATAAGAAGTTGCACCGGCTGGAAGTAGGTTACGTTAAGCTCGGTTAAGAATGCAGGCGGACACACTCATCAAAGTGAATGCGAAAAGCTCATAAGCATGAGGTATATGTATGTGTGTGTGTGTGAGTAGCATATGCAAATGATGTGCATTCCGATTACGAAATGGAACAAGGTACCGCGCTTTTCAATTATTTTCTAAAGAATTTAATTAATTACGTACTGCAACATTGAATAGTATTTTTTTAAATTATTTGATATTTTTATTTAATTACATAAAATGTAGGATACATTCGGATACGCGTATGGCATATTTTTATGTATTATTTTTTAAAACGTGATATCACAACGATAATCGTGCATAATTTAATTGAAATTCTATAGCGCGTTTAAATGGTGAATGCAAATCAATTATGAATATATAGAGCTTTTGTGTACAAAATGTGCATGCAGTGCAATAGCTTTTGTATCTAAATGCATTTTGTGGTTTTCTCAAATCAATTTCCGCACTTCACGTTTTGGTCCAGGAAATCGAGCTCCCCTATGTGTTTTGATTAAATCGATAAAGAACTGACTCCGAAAGAAAATTAATTATAAATTGTTAATAAATTGTAATGGTAAATCTTTTTTCTCGCAACAAAGTATAAATAAATGGAAAATTTGTCATCATTAAAGAAATAATTACTAACAAAGAGCTTTTTCGTTTCATGACTTCCGGGCCGTTATTTAATTAAAATATTGTTAAATCAGATGTTATTTGTAATTTATAATGCATTGAAAATGTACGAATATGTACATGGAAGTACAAATAATTTTTAATTAAACTTTTAATCTATAATTTTGATCGAATGTTCGTTTTTTATTACATTTATTTAATAGTTGTGTTTACGTTCAATGTCCGTCTCTGCCACTTGTGTATGATAATTAAAGTAATATCGATTTTCTTAATGAGATGTCTGTGGCCGCGTATCATGCACGTGTCTTTACTTAATTATGTTGTGGATTTAATCTGACAGTGTGCCCATGTACGAAAGCACATCTGTAACCATTTTCGATGTTCTCTTCGTGTATGCATTTTCTCTTTCTCCCCCTTTCCCTTTCTCTCTCTCTCTCTCTCTTTCTCTTTCGTGTACGTGCATATGAACAATGTCATTGCGGTAATGCGCATATAGAAGTTGCTACATTCTGTAACCGCAAAATCGTGGCAAACGAATGGACGATTTTCGAATCTATATGCCCATTATATGCAATCTAGGAAAATTTAATACAGCTTTACACTTCCATATTAAAGTGGAAGTAATCCCAGGCGGGCATAAATATTTTACTTGCGGTGAACACATTTTCAAGGAATCATGCATAGTAGCAACCAAAATATGAAATAAACATGTCCGTATTTTTTTCTAAAAGTAATCTTAGGTAAAGTTTATATAATATATTTACATTTTAATGCATACTTTTAATAAATGTTAATAATAAGTTCAATAATTAGAAGCGCTAAGAAACTAATCATGTTTATTCACGTTACAATACTTTCTTTCTTTAACAAACAAAGAAGGTTATTATTAATTTTCTAGTTTTCAATATGGATTTTCTCGAAAGTAAAACTTTGTGAGAAGAAAGAAGTTTATTTTGTACTTTAAAATTATTTTTGTACAATCTCTTTCCTGTTTATATCATGATTTTGATCGCCCTATAGCGGCTGCCAAAAATTTTCGACCGAGTGAGTCATTTTATTGTATCGCTCAACAATCTTTAAAGATATATACTATACAAGTTTTTAATATATTCTAGTATTTAAGATCCGTGTTCTCAAGTTGATTATAACGACAATTTTATTAACTTATAATATAAACTAAAAAATAAATTAGCACAAATTATCGTCAAATTATATGTTGGTCGCAAACTTTTGATAGCTACTGTATATCGAAATTGAATGTAAGAAGATCAGAGGCCCTATATTTTGTAATTCTTAACGCAAGTTTCATTATCGTCATAACGTCGTTGCGCAGCTTTTTTATCATGGTAAAAAAGCTGCGCGATGATGTTATAACGATAACGAAACTTGCGTTAAAAGTTACAGAATAGCCCTGGGGTGCGTTCAAAATGAACATCCGGACGACAACTTTTTACCCAGAAGCGTTCGATTTGACCGGACGTTTTTTCCAGACGTTTCACCATGGTCGTTCAGAATGGGTTTAGAAGAATGGCCAGACGACAACTTTTCGCCATACTCGAGACTGCGGCGAATTTTGCCCGACATGCGCAGAAAAGTCTATCTATGCCTACGCAACCTATAAGAACTATATATGATTTGAGGTTATTATTATTAGTAGGAAAAGTTGAATCTTGAGATAGTATGTATCTGAAGTGAAAAGAATAGTTTGAACTTTGTAAGTGATTGTATACATTTTTTATTTACATTGTTCATTCTATAACAATATATTATTATTAATGTAATATTAATGTAAAAAAAGGAGTAGTAAATATATATGTATAAATTTTATTAAGAGAGAATTACTCAATATAGAAAAAACATAATAATTCTATTAATTTATTTTATGTTATTAATTTTCAGTTGAAAAGTATAATATGATGGAGAATTGTGTAGTACACTATTACATTATATAAAACGTTTTCTTTTAGAGATATCGAGTCTAATGATGATTCCGAAGAAGAGGAGCTAATTAGTAAAGAATTATATGCTGAGAAAAATTAAATTCTGAAAAAAAAGTTCCATCTCGAATAAAATATTTTATTGAGCATACAGTATTAAATAGTATTGCAAAGGAATTTCAATCACTATTGAATTTCAATCACTATTGTAGACCCCGCATAAATTCGACCACTTGTGTTACGCTTTAGACAATAAAACTGTTCGTCCTGTTCGTTCAGAATGAAAACGTCCAAGTGTGACGTCACATTATCCATGGATACCCTTATCCGGATGAAAAATTTTCATTCTGAATGCACCCCTGCTGGTGTAACATTGCGCATAATGACAATTTGGAGCCAATTTCAAATTAGTCAAAAATGTCTTCATTACTTTGAATGACTGCACATCCTTGAAATTAGTTCATCTGGTTTTTTTATGTCATGAATGAACGTACGTATTAATGGACAGAAAAAATAATATACGGTCGTTTTACTGAAATAGGGTGGATATCGATCTTAAGAGCGACTTTAATCCCTTCAGCAATTTTCTCTCGTGAGCGTGTTCGTGTCGGACGCCAGAT